GCCGGTCGGGGTGCGGGCTGGGGCGGGGCCGCGCGGTCGCAGCCAGGCAGAGAGCATCCGTGGAAAGAGGAATGGGGGCGCCCCCAGGATGCGGAAAGTGGGGTCCAGCGCGGGCTGACGCCCCTTTGTGCAGTGAATCAGTTTGAGGCATGGGGCGTTCCGACTTCAGGAAAGGCGGTGATCCAGCAGCTCCCCCCCGCCCCCCGCCCCTCATCTCGTGAGTTCCTGGGGGGCTTTGGGGTTCCGGGCCTTTCGGGGTGGCAGACGGGAATTCAGCTGTGGGAGGACGGAGTTCGTCGCGACCTCGTGAGAGAGGAAGAGTTTCCATGTGGACGGGAGGCGACCCCCCAAGTCACCCCCGTTCCGTCCCTGTGCCCACCCGCAGGTTTCATCGTGTCTGTGCCAGGAGCCCGAGCCCTGCCGGCCTGGCTTCAGCGCGGAGACCTACACGTTCCCGGTCGCCCGGCGCCACTTGGAGAGAGGCAGAGTTCTGGGCAGAGGTGAGGACACGCGGGCGGGTGGGGCCCAGAAAGTGCACTCCCTTCTCTAGGCGAACCCCAGCTGGCTTCAAGAAATTAGAAAACAAAACCAAACCCACTCAGTCGCGAATCTTAGACAGTAGAACAGCCCCACTGGGCGCCAGCGGTGGACATTTTACGGAAGTGGTCTGCCTCGTTTTGCTCCCAGGGGGACGGCTGGTGGGTTTGAACCCCTCAGGCTGGCTAGCAGTTGAGCTCCTAACCACTGCTCCGCCAAGGCTCCTGGGCTCAAAAGAGACGCCTTTGAGTTTACACGGGTTTAAGGACTTAAACTTTCACTGTACGCTTAGAGGAGGCCACCCTGCTGGCCTGATCAAGGGAGTGGGATAGGGACATTGACAAGAAGCCATCAGTGTGTGGGCTCTCAGCCCCTGGTAGGAAGGTGGGAATATTCCCGGTTTACAGATGAATAAACCAAGGCTCAGTGGGGAGCCGTACACTTGCCCAGTGCACAGCCCAGCAGGAACCAGAATCCGACTCCCAGCCACAGTTCTACATCCATTTCTGTGGTGAGCCAGGGACCCTCTTGGTTGGCCAGGGCCGTGGCTTTTTTGTTCATGGAAATGAAAACATTTTGATACAGGTACTAGTTTCCCAAGGAATAATGGTTAAAAAAAAAAGTTTGGTAACTCTGACTCTGGATGAAAATGCACAGGAATGCCCAATGTACTTCTGGGTCTTATCCCTGTGAAGAGCCAGGTTGTGGTGGTTGTTTTGTTCTCCTTCATGCCTAGGTGCCCGGGAGAGGGAAGGGGCCGTTTTCTCTTCTGGTTTCACTGACTCAGGTGCATTTCTCACCCAGCCACTTTCTCCTCCCTCCCAAGGTTGGTGGATGGGGCGGGCACTGGGACAATAAAGGAAGCATTTTTTAAAAAGCGAAATCACTCAGGTCGCCTGAGGCGTCCACTGTGTCTGTTCTGCCAGCCATTGGTCACTTCAAAAAGTCTGTAGCTGTCACATTGCTGTCTGGAAAAAAATTTTTTTTTTAACTTTGGAAGTTGTTCCAAAAGTGGGTGGCATTTTCCCTCCCCCAGAGAAGCTGAAGCTTGATTGATGAAACATATTTATTTTTCTGAGACCAGCCTCTGTTAGGAGCTTTCTATTGAGGCAGAAAGAAAGTATTGTCTGCCTGATGTTGCAGCATGCGGGCCATGGCTCAGCCAGCCTCTGCTTGAGGTTTTGCCTAGTCCGGGGTAGGAGAGACCAGGTTACCATGATGTGGGATATGGGGA